AGGGAAGTAGCAGAGAGAGAAGTATACCCCAGGGCGCTAAATGTGTGGAAGAACTGTCTTAACTCTTCTAACAGACAATAAAATATATATATTTTTTAATATTATAAATTCGCTGTTTTATTCATCATCAGTACATGCTGTTAAAGCAAACAATTATATGTATTGTACATTGCTTGCGGGTGCTGCAAATCCAGATACGTCTTCGTAGTACAGATGTAGGTGACAGTATTTAAAGGTCGACGTAAACTTGTATTGGGTGTCATTAAAGTTGTTTTTTTCAATTGATAAATTTTGAAAATAGAGGGGAAAAAACACTTAATTAAGAATGTAGTTTAAACTGGACGATATCGAAATGTTAAATACGTGATGAATAGACAGTTAGGAAATGAATTTTTTACATTTATAGTTAGGAAAACACTGTAAAATTTATGTGTAGAATTATAATTACACAGGTTTGTAGATCATTTATAGAGCAGATAAATCTGTACTTGAAACAGGTTAAACTTGTAAATTATATGTGATCCATACTATAACATTGACAGACGTTTTCAACTCCTTAATTCACCCCTCTCTTCCGAGAGGGGTGAATTAAGGATTTTTTCCGGTTTAGGGGTCTGTAATGGTCCCTACCCCTTACAAATTAATGCTTTCTTTACTAACAAAGACTGTTTTTTATTATTCATTAATAAAAAAGAGATATCCTACATATTTCATTTGTTCAAAAAAAAAATAGTAAAAGGGGTCTCTTCTACCCCCGTATCCCATACTAGCTCTCCACGACCCCGTTCAAGAATAGACATAGATATTATATTACAAAATTATAAAATTTACTCAAGCGACGAGTGTTCGAATTTCAATGCGAATTTCAATAATTTAAATCCAAAGAGTCAATTGACATTATAGAGAAATCGCTATAAAATGCGAAATGCGATGCGAAAATTGCATCACGACGAGTCAAATTCAAATATTATCGGATACGATGCAATCAATTCCACAATTTTCTCGCATTTTATAGGCGATTCGGACTTTATGTAAAGTATTATACCGACAGACAGTGCGACGAGCTTCGTTTTTATAGAAGCGAGTGAAATTTTTGGGTGTGACCGACACTTAGAAATGCTTCAAAAGTTGTCGGATGTGTTGTAAATGATGAATATTAGAACACAACGAATTCTTTTATGGCGACTTTGACGAATACAATGAAGTTTTTTAAGTGTGACGAATATCTAAAGGAAGGTTTTGTGCCGCTAAACAGAATAAGCTTTTTATTAAATTTGTCGAGCATCGAGACCCGATAAATTTATATAGAACATAGCGTGACGAATTTCAATATTACATAAAAACACTTTTTGATAAAATATTATGAATAAAGTTTATTGAAATTCTGTAAAGATTAACAAAGAACTGTGCAATGTTTGCGATTAGAAACACTTGATTGACGCCTGAAAACACGCAAAGATTTTTTTTCCAGTCGAATTTATCGACGTTTTGGGATTTAAAATGGAATTCTTTTTAAAACATTGTATTAGGAGAATTAAACAATGAAAACTTTATAGATGTTTAGAAATGCGATAACGCTATTGTAAGCGATAAATGTCGAGTTTCTCTTAGCAAATTTTCATTCATTGTTAACGTTATCGATAAGGAAAATCTATATCAAATGCGGCATAACAGCATTGAATCGAACAATAAGAAATCAATTAGAATCCGAGTTATATGACAAAGATCTGCCAACGTCCACAAACAAGCTTATCTAGAGCGCATAGAAACGAGCTAATTAAAATAGAAAAGGGCATAATATTTTACTGATGTTTTGACAACGACCATTTTTCTAATCTCGGATTTTGAAACATTCCAGAAGCATTTATTACTAGAAAAGAAGAAATTGGTTGGAGACACGCTCTGTATGTGTGTGTATGTGTGTGTCTCCTCTCTCTGCTCCCCCTTAATATCAGATCAATACTCGACTTGGCCAAGCAAGCAGTCTTAGGCAAGAGTCGCGAAATTTGTTTGAAATGAAAATGTTGACTCGAAAAAGTAGCATCTTATCGTGTTCCCATCCGACACAAAAGATGTGATCAGCATTTTTGATGTCTCGAAAACCACTAAAACATACTTTTTCCCTTTCTAAAATATCCATATAAACGGTTATCGTCGGGTTTTTCCATCTCTGAACATTTAAAGAAGAAAAAGAATAAAGTGTGTTCTGCCACGAGAATCTTCCCACTAAAATAGTAAGTAGGAAGAATGGTATGAAAAATAGTAATTATGAATAAGAAAGTTTCCTTCTTGATTATGTGGTATTTTACTTTTAAATGATTTATTTAGATTGTTGAGAAACGCTTTAGAAAATTATTGATCGAGTCAGTGGGTTGTCTGAACAATTACAGTGTAGAAGGAATAGAGTCGAGAGCGTTAAAAAGAAACGTAACGAGTATATATTGTGATTAAACACGTTTTTTATTACCGTTCTTTAACAGTAAAGTACTAGTAAAGTCGCTACAAGTAAACATATTTTAACTATTGAATCATTTCCTCTCAAGCATCGAATCACTTCACACTAAATGAGGTGAGGTCATTGATTCTTCGAAATAAATATTTATATAATTTAACCATTATAAACTCTTACAATTTTATTATTATTATTTTTTTAACCATTAAATCATCANTTACTGTTATTCTACAGCGTAGAAATGAGTTATTCTCTAAAAACCGCGAGAGATTTCTTATATCCTTTCTGCAAAAGTTTTATGAATCTAAGGAGTTGGACTGATCCCGAAAAGATTCTGAACAGACACATTTTCCATCCTATAAATCAAGGTTTATCTCCTATATAGCAAACTACAATATGATATTGGTTACCTCACCAATAAATAAACTGGACGAAACACTTGTTAGTTCATAACAATAATAAATTAGATTTTATTCAATACTTTTTTTTTCTGTATGAAACATCAAGCCACTGAAAAAATTGTTAAAAAGCCATTTTTTTCCTCTTCTACTTTAGTTGTTTACCGTTCTCGTCCTTTCACTTCGACTACTTACAGCGACGCCTAATGACTATAAACTCTTACAATTTTATTATTATTATTTTTTTAACCATTAAATCATCAGTCAATTCGATGTTATTTCCGTTACGAAGAGGTAGAAACTTGCCGATTAAACATATCTTATCTTATATTAATCCCGATAAGGGTGTAGATAATAAGTAAAGGTGATTCTGTGTTGTTAGTGTAGTAGTAGTAGTAGCATCTGGAATTGAATACGTTCTTCACGACTTTACCAAATGGTGCTTTAGCGCCCGGAGCAATCTGGTTCAGCAGTTCTTGACGACAAATAGAAAATTTTCCGAGTCGAATAAAAATAATAAAAATTATCAGCTCGTTCAGTTTATATCTTCGGGTTTTAATAACGAGAAGAGAACGTCGTATGGAAGAGCAATTTTTAATTTCGTTTTTCGGATAGATTATTCCGCTTTTGGTTTGTTGTATGTACTCTTGGATTTTTATAGATTCTTTAATTTCTTCGGTATGTTTAATTAAATGTCAAAAATCTTGAAAGATGTACCGTTTGTCAAAAGTTGATGAGGCACAACTTTGAAGTGATGAAGTACCCGTCGAACGTGATGAAATGTTAGGAATGCCTTCAGATATATATATATTTAGAATGCAATGCTAAAGTGTTTTGTGATTGCACTAAAGAATTTTCTGCAATGAACGCATTAAAATTATAAATCAGAATACGATGAAATTTATCGTGAAAATCGCGTGAAATTTTTCTAAAATTCTAGTGTGATTGTGAGAAAGTTCGTGAAAATTTAAACATTTTTCTCGTCTATGTATGCGTGTTTAAATTCAATCTTGTATGTCTATATATACAAAAAAAATAATTATATACTATATATAACTGAATATACATACATTTTTTTAGGCTATTATTCACCTTATATAATTATTTTATGTAAAAAAATACCGTAATAACTGAAACGATATCTCTCTATATTAAATCATTCGAGCATCGATGACATTTTCTCATTCTTTTTTACCATCATAATTATCCTTCGTTATTAAATTCTATCCTCAAAAACCGACCAAAAATTAATTTTCTAAATTGACAAAAACTAAAATTTAAAGAAAAAAATAATGATTTTTTTTCCGAAATTCAACTAAAAATCACTTTTAAAATTCCTCTTAAGCATTTAATTACGGAAAACTATTGAAGCACACGAAAACAATTTGAACAGGAAACAGTTGACAAACAAAGCGTTAACGATAAATAAAGTCGTGGAACATTTAAGAAAAAAAAAAATGATTATATTTTCTAACTCGGAAACGCCTTGCTAACATCTTTTTCTATTTCTAGAACGGATGTTGGGTCAGTAATTAGGTAGGTCAGATTCATTCACCTGTGAGATGTAGGGCAATAGGTCAGGTAAGCTTAAAGTAGAGAATTCTCTGTTGGATAAGAAAAATCTGTTTATCATTGCCTCTAGAATATCGATTGAAAAATTCACACCTCTACATTACCACGTTCCTTTTATATTTCTCTCTTAGTATTTGTACATTTTTACGCTCCTATACTTGTACGTTTTTATGATTTCTTTTATGTTTCCTCTCTTTCCTGTAATTAAACTAGTGCCGAAAACACCGTTAAAGTAACCGAAATTTCCGTATCGTGTCCGAATTAATTAATTACTAGAACTCAAACGAGATTGCTCCAGTTACAAAAACTCTCGGATCCATTAATAAAGATACTCTGCCCTGTCGTGCGCTATTAAGTTCATGTAACACGATAGTTACATCAAATAAACATTTTTATAATAGAAACTCACGAAATATTTATTCCTCCCAAAAATTTCTGGAATATGACAATTAAATTTTGTTATTCTTGCATACATTGCAATGGTTGTATTTTTGGAAATTGACTGGCATTTTTGGGATGGAATTTGTACCGTTAAAGGTATTTTTAATAATATTAAAATGTTACTCCTTTTATTTCAGATGTCTCGGATGTATCGCTTAATAATACTTCGAAAGCATCCAGTGAGAATATACAAAAGAGATCTCATCTCAGGAATTGCTGCAGTCCGTCTTTGAAAGAACAACCATCTGTGACTCGTTCACATTTGGTCTTAGTGCCAAAAGAAAAACTATATACTAGTGCTCAAGTTAATCGCAACAAAGCGGGATTTACTATCGGTGAAGAAGATCTTAGGGAAGATGAAGATAATAGAGTGCGAAGCACGAGATCCAGCTCGATCGTAGATCGCGATTTAGCTTATTTGAAAGACGTTATCACACAGACGACTCCTTTTCTTTCTCCATCAGTTTTTACTGATGAGCCCGAAAGATATTTCAAATCACGGAGTGATCCATTCAAATCTACTTCGACATGGTTGAAGAGGGTGGCAAGAAGTGATAGCCGCGAAAATCTACCATTTTTCAGTTCGGTTTTATCCTCTTTAAATAACTCCCTCCTAATGGAGGAACTGGAAAATATTATGCCATTGGCATCACCAAAAAAGAAAGAAAGAGCTTTAAACGCTTTCCACCGAGCCAGAGAAGAAAAATCTGACAATCCTTCTATCGAAGACATCATCAGTGATATTATTCATCTTTTGGGTGGTAATGTGAAGCCTTCTCAACCATCCACGCGACCATTTCATTCGCGTATTAACGACAGGGGTCCACCGAAATTTGATTTTCAAGAGGCACCCTCGGGGTTAGCTTCTACTAATAATGTATTTCCCAATGCCCAAGACGTGAGCCAAATATTAGGACTTTTAACAACCGAGCCTTCTTCGCTATCACCATCTTTCGCATCTACAATAGAAATCACGAGTACACCGGTAGCATCTCCTTCCACGTCATCTTCTATTTATATATCTACATCATTTATGACTTCCTTCACAGATTCGATTTTTGTAACGAAAACGGCGGATATAATTAGTTCTAGTCTTGTCTCGTCTACAGATTGGTTACCGTTGAAGGAACTACCAAACGGAACCACTCACTCAAATTCCATCACGGAAGAACCAGTAATTATCACTGCACCTATAGCACCTTCCACTTTCGAGCTCACGGTCACTAACGTTATAGGAACTCAAATAACGCCTCAGAACACGACTTCATCGACAAAAACGCGCTCGAAACCAACGACGGACACTAATATCGTTTGGGGCAAAGTGTCCGATGTCACGCAACATCCAGCCATTCAGGCAGACGTCGGAAACAAACACCACCTGATAGATCCAAGACCTCCAGCTAGAAGAAACAGCACGGCAGACGTGATACCAATAGATATCGATAAAGTACGCCCGTTAGGTAAACCTTCCAGAGGATCCAGTCACACGCATCTACGTCCAGAGACTCAACAGAACGGAGATAATTTAAAACCTATAAAACCACCCGAACGACCCTCCAGAAAACCTTACAGCCCAACACAGATACCAATAGTCAGGTATGTAGTAAAGATGTAAAGTGAGTAAAACTTTTCAAAAATCGCACAAGTTTACCCAAACTATGTGAATGGTACTTCTTTCTAGCACAACCGTTTCGTGTTTGCAGGATAGACACCTGTATAGTGGGAGACGATACGACGTGCAATGTGGAGAAGAATGAGAGATGTGTTACCGAATACGGTGTAAGCTCCTGTTACTGCAAACCCGGTTATGGAAGAACTTTACAGCGTGGACCATGCCTCCGTATATTACGTTTATTCTACTTTAGTAATAAATAAAGTAATCGAAACCAATAATTCTTACTATTTTTCTTTATATTTTTTTTTTTTTTTTTTAGCCGTTCTGAAGCTTCTATTCTCCTTTAATGTTGATCGTTTGGGAGACAGGAAATTGCACTATACTTCGAGTTATTCGAAAACAGAGACCGAAGAGTATAAAATTATGGAATACGAAGCAAACCAAGCTGTATGTTTATGCATTATTTATTTATTTATAACTTCAATTTCATTCCTGTTTAGAATAACACCGCGTCGTTTGAATATGAAATTTTTCGGGACGTGACAAAAATCTTAGGCAATATGTATTTTCAATACATAAAAATAAAATGGAAACCGTGATAGAAAAAGTCGAAACACGAAAACTGATTATTTGATATCTTCTTCTGTTCAGGTTTCGACGTTGTTTGCATACACTACGTTCGCTGGAGTTTTTGTTGGTGCTTCAGTAAACAATTTATACAACTCCGAAGGGAAAATTGCAGTAAATGCTACAATGCAACTAGACGATCTGTCTCTTACTCATTCCAGAGTATCTTTAGCTGTTCAGTTACAAAGAGAATTGGGAAATGCAATCATCAATAGAAGAAACAGAGTCGGAGACAGCAAACTGTACGCAGAGCGTCCTCTGACTACCAGTTCTTTATTAAATATACAAGGTATGCTATTCACTAATTTTAAATGTCGTTAACTCCCTTACAAAGTTTACGTACGAGTTTCTGCTCTTCTGTAGATATCAATGAGTGCATCAGACCGGAACTGAACGATTGCTCACCCCATGGGACTTGCTACAACAGTTTCGGAACCTTCGGTTGCATCTGTTTATCAGGTTACACTGATAAATATCCCGATGACGAAAGAATGAGTGGTAGAGTCTGCACTGGTAGGTAATGCAATGTTTACGTAGTGTGTACTGTTTTTTTTTCCTTTGTTCCTGTTCTATTTTACTACAGAAATAAATGCGATCGTGCGTGACGTAAGAGCTAAAGTATAAGGACACTCCACTACTAAGATAGCAATTTCGATCATCCGAAAAATTCACGCAATCACGCATAGTGCTATGCTGACAATTCTGTTTGGAGTGCAGCGAAGTCTAGTTGCTGCACTGGAAATATTTGATTCACGTTCTATTTACTTATTTTTACACGAAAATTATAGCCGTTAGGGTCACAAAGTGAGCGAATAAAATTTTCAAATTGACGAAATTTATATTACCTAAATGTAGCTCTTAGAATAATAATAAAGAAGTAGGGTTTCAATAGTAACCGAGATCACTAAAAGCGTGATTAAAGAGCAAACAGGAACATCTAAAGAAGTGATTTATTATTATAAACTTGAAAAGTTACTTAAACTATCAAAGCGAATTGCACATATTTCTTCTCTGTGTACACCTAGAACAAATTTTATACGTACAAGAGCAACAAAATGGCTCGGTTTAAGAGAAATAAACTTATTCAAGCGATAATTCAAGCAGGAATGACTATTATGGTAATTTAATGTTTGTTTTGCAGCCTGTTCTCCCGATTATTGCAACAAACATGGAGAATGTATTATTAATGACGGAAAGAGAGAATGCAGGTAAATATTATTATTTAACAAATATTCTAATAAAATATAAATTTATTTTTATTAACAAATATGGAATTTATTTTTAAATAATTAGATGCCACGGTAATTACATAGGCTCGAGATGCGAAACGGACGGAGAAGGTAAGGTCTCCGTTAAGCCTGATATACCTGAAGGTATACTTGAACGTGTGAGTGACAGAAATGTCAGTTTTTTTTCATCCACATGTTCAGGTATACCTGCCAAGTATACTGGTACATATGTACCGGCTTTAGAATTGATTATCTTGATATAACTGATTGATTCCTTATTCATATTTTAGTATTGGGAGTCGCTTTAGGTGTATCTTTAGCAGCTGTAATTGTTATAATCTTGACTGTTATATGCCTTTGTCTCTGGAGGTGAGTTATATCTCTTTAATTCTTGTGGCATTACAGAAATTCCATGGTAAATATTCAATCGCGCGTGCATATAATACATATTTATACGTACATTTACTTCCAGTCGACGATGGAAACGAGAACAGAAAAAATGCAAATCAGAAAGCGACCAGGAATTATGCAGCTATATGACTAATTCCAGGAATGGATACAGATTAACAAACATGGTCGATCACGTCAGGTGGGCACATACTGGCGAAACTGCAGCGAATACTTTTATGGTAATTTATAAGAAATTTATATTCTGTGTATTCTACTCTAACTAATTTAATTAAGTCTTTTAATTTTAATATTATTCTAGTCTACTACTAATGCAAATACCTCTTCGCCTACTGAAGTACCCATGAATCAGTCGCGAAGTAACACTATAAAAGAAGAAGAAAGTAACGGTAACATGTATAATAGATTAGGAAGACAAAGGCCGAGAATGACAAGAAACGAAATGGTAAATAAATATAATTTTCGATCATTTCTAATGATATTTTCTTAAATAAATATTGATTTAATTATAGGTTCAGTCGGCTAATCTGTATCAAGATGTCGCAAGTCCCGTTTGGGAGACTCCTTATTGTTCCAATCACTTAACAAGTAATCCTTATTCAGCAGATGTACTGAAACCGTATTTCAACTAAAATAAATACGTATACGTGGTACAGTACATGCGGTATTTATAGTTATCTACCGCGTTATTTTATGATAAAGAAAGCTCAGATTTGAATGCCTGAATGCTTTTTAATTTGCATTGAGTTTTCGAACTGAAAAATAATGGCCGGAAGCGAAAAAAAAAATAATAATAATGAATATTTTTAAAAATGTTTTAATTACTTTTAATGTGTCCATGCACAATGTCCGATGGGAAAAAGTTATTGTTAAAGGTGAATATGTTTTAAAAAATGTTATGCATTCTTCAAAAAGTTCTATTTAATAATTTGAATCGGAATTTTAAAAATCTTTATTAAAATACTCGAGATGATTTAACCTCGATGTGCACATCCCATTCACCTATTATAAGGGGTTGCGTGGTGAAATATGCATCGTTATGGGAATGGGTAACCATAAGTTGCAGTTATAAAGATTCAGCATGTCCCATAAAATCTATCAATATTAATTTCAGGGCTGCATTTTACCCAACACAAAATCAAGTTTCTTGTTGTGATGGAATATATAAAAATTCAGAAACTATACTAAACTAAATTTATTAAATACGTTATATATAAAAATATACTAAAAAAATCTTTTATAATCAATATTTTAATACTTTTAATTAAAGAATTCTTTCTAAAAAAAAATATATATATATATATAAAAAGAATTCCTGGAAGCGTGAAACATGATGGATATGATAGAGCTAAGCATCTTTTATAGAATATTTCTCTTGATCTCCATTATTGCTATGATACTATAGGTAGAATCCAGTGAAGAATAGATAAAATTAGCGCTTGTATTTCGTATTGTAATATGGTTTTAAAACTATCCTAGGATATAGTCATAGTTTATGATATACTGAATCATTCTGTGCCCTATCATTTACCTATTTCCTTGGCTAGCATGTAGAATCAAAGCCTGAATGTGTGCATTGACATCCATCCAAAATATAAAAAGATTTGTTGAGGATGTCTTGAGGAAAAAAAACAAACAAAAAAACATAAATAATAAGTGTTATGGGTTTGATACCAAATAAAAAAAAGTCCAATTGTAAAATATAACTTGTAAAGTATTACAGATTGTAAAATCATCCTACATAAATTATATCATTATTACTATTATTGATTAATTTATAAAGAATATTTGTAACGTGCAAACTTCTAGTCATAAATCAGATCAGGATAAAGAACAGATCGTGATTTGTTATTTCAAAAAAAAGGGTAAAAAAATGAAAAAAATATTTAAAAAAAATAATAATAATTTAATTGTAATGTTTTATTCAAATATAACGTTTAAAACACAATCCGTGTCTTATTTTTTTCTCTGCGTGTGTTCATTTTTATGTTTTGTTGTCGTATCAAAACATAATCTAACACAGAATAAATTTTAGTGTATTGATCGCTGTTTCCCTGTTTACAGCAGTTTGACTGGTTAAAATATTGTAATTTACAATACGTTAACCAGTCAAACTTCATGTTAAAAGTTGAATGATTACATCGACTTTTCTATGAGATATTTTTGATATTTTTTAAGAAATAAAACAGCGACTTATCGATTGATTAAAAATCCTTCACAGGCTTTCATCCTATTTACGTATTTTACATTTATATAAATAAAATCAGAACAAAATGACTTATATCAATATTTTTAATAGTAATTTTTTTCTCTAAATTATTACTATAATTTTGTAATATTAATACTAGTTGTATTCCGTGTAAGCTAAGTTATTGATATTAATGTTCTAAATTAACTCTAATTTTCAGAGTTTATCGCTAAAAGATGGAATTAAAAAAAAAGCCCAAAAACCCTAAATATATTATTATTTTTCTATAGTATTTCCCTCAATAAGAATGGAGCCGATGTGCTGTATCTTGAACGCGTACATCACTCCGACGTCGTAGTAAAACAAAGAAAATTCTGTGTGAACTTTGAAAAATAAAGAAACTGAAAATGTAAACATTACGTCATATGACGTCGTGTTACGTTTTATTACTTACCCCCTCTAATCTCAAATTTTCTACAGTAATGTTGGAAGTTTTAAATGTATTATAACGATTTAAACATATCTTATTATTTTCTAATATATGTTCTACCTCGAACACTAAACTATTTTCCTTTACGTACAGTACGTAGAATAATGAACATCGGCTCCATTTTTATTCTGGTAAAGACTGTACAGTAAAACCTGTGTAAAACGGAATCGCCTGGTACTGAATATTTGTTCGGGTTTAGCAGGTTTCCGTTTTGAACAAGTGTTTTTTAACATAGAAAATTGCTCCGTTCCGAAGAATTTTTTTCTGTTTATAAAAGTTTTTCTCCCTTTATTCAGGTTCCGTTTTGGGCAGGTTTTTATTCTAATTTCTATAATCTAAATTTTAATGGTAATTTTTTTTATAAAAGTTACTCTAAATAATTACTATTTATTACATATAATTTAATAATAAATAATCGTAGTTGTGTTTTGATTAAGTATAAGAGCAATTTTTGCTATTAAAATAAAATATAACGTTCCAAATATATTAAAGTTAGAAGATAACCAATAAGCGTTAGCGTACAAAAAAAGTAAAACGAACGGTAATTGGTTAATTTCAAATTCTAATTCTTCATCATTGGTTTAAGTACGACGGCAGAGTTTAAGTAAAAAATAATAATAATTCTGGTAGACGTAACATCTTACAAATAATCTGATACAGATCTTTAAAGCTTTTGTTTGTAATATTCAGTAATATATTAAATTTTCTCTATCAGTTTTTACGGTATTTCGTCTCGAATTTTTGTAATCCTAGCGTGAAATTTGTTAATCCTATTATTCCGCTGGAACATTTTCTTGAAAGAAAGAATAATATAATCAGCATGAAAAATTTGCGATACGTCGATCCACTTTCCATAATTTAATCAGGAATTCTGCATCGTAATTAGGAATTTTTGTAAGAAATAATGATTAAATCTGTGTTATTTAAAAATTTTGCCTTGTGCAATGTCGGACATCGAATATAATAATAAAAAGAAAGGAGATGTTAAATTAAACCCGACTTTCTTCAAATAACGCCGAAATGAATACAAACTATAATTATTATATATATTAATTATGGAAATAAACTCAGTTAATTCCCATAGATATTTACATTGAAATTAGTTTATATATTTACTCCCAGATGGCAGTAAATGATTATTGTAATTCAGAGTCTTTAAAATTGAAATTATATATTTTAAATAATTTATTTTAAAACATAAAATGATGTTATAATGCAGTAATTGCGTACAGAATAAGTTAGAAATAATAATAAATAAATTTAGTTTTAGAAGTAAATTATTTACTTGTAATATTTTATATTCATGCAATGTAAAAATAAAGATCGAAATAAACCATATGAATATTTATAATGCTTTATTGAAGTTTTTTAAAATTACACGTTTATAAAAAAATATATATATTTAATGTGTAAATAAATATTATATAAAATAAAATCCTTAAATAGCGAATATTTTTATTTATTTTTATTTATTTATTTTTTCAATAGAGGGCAGCTCTATTAAATAAAATTACCAAATCATAGCCTTTTAATAGCCCAAATATCGCCACGATATTTTATTGAGTTCTATATTCCAAATACGTACTTTATAAATAAAATTAATTAATAATATATAAAATGTTAACTTTGTAATGAATTTGAATTATCTGATAATAAATGAGGTTACCTCGTTTATTTTCCAGTATCAGAACCGGAACAAAACAATTTCTGAAGAAAAACTGGACCAAATCCGGGACAACTAATGTTTTATTTTTTATTTGTTATACATTTTTAAATAAACAAGATGGAATATTCGTTTATGAATAAGAAAAACTTAATTACATTATGATAAATTATATTTTAGGGTTTTAAAACGGATGACGCTTCTTTCGAAAAGAAAGAATTCTTCATTCATAATTTCTTCTTGTAATTATTTAGTTTTATAATATCATATACGATAAAATAAGACATTAAGAAAAACGCAATAAAAATGTAATTTCAGAACTAAAAGAGAAAAATCTTAGGAAATTTTCGGGTGATATGTCCCGAATATGTTGTGACATATCACTCTTATCCTTCACCACTCAAAATGGATATGACCACAAAGCCCTCTTAGTGTCCACAGGCGGAAAAATTCAAAAATAATAAAAATTCGTGAATTTGGCAAGACCCAAAATGACTGCGCTCGGGTGAAGAACAAAATTCAATATATCCGGGACAGACCGCCTCATTAAAAATTCTTAGGGAATTGCTCGTCCGGATTCGATTCCATGTCTCCCAAAGCAGTAGGTTTACATCTTAAATTGAGCATGTAGAATAGAGCGAGAAAACTCAAAAACGTGGTTTGGTTTTAGTATTCTTTCGACCAATAGATGGCATGCGTGTGAAACGTAAGGCTAATCTTCGATGGCCTTAGGTCTGCCATACACGTGTCCAATGAGAAAAATGGTACAGCTAGAAGCATTAAGTAGAAGTGATGCTAGCCTCCGTCTGTAAATAAAATTCTGAATGTGCGTATGGCTGGGATATGTAACGATGTTCGAACGACTGTAATGTTTCAAAAAAAGTGGTATGACACTTGCATGATTGGCTGCGATTTTTAAAAATTGCAGACCTATAAATTCCCGCTTGCTTCGTCTAGTGTCTATCCTTCCCTAATCTCGAGAACAGAGTTGGAGAGATGAAAATCGAGACCAGATATGGAAGTCTTAAGGGCAGGAATATATCGTGACTTCCGGTTTGGGCATGTTATATGTATACAACCTCCAAAATAATAAGTCAAAATAACCTCCAAATCTTCAAAATAATTCACTGCTCAATTGAAGGGCATTTAAAAATAAAATGTTTACACAATTCCAACTACTTTTTGAACCTTTCGATTTGTCATCAGGGAAATCTTTGAAACAAATGTTAAGAAGACATTCGAATAAGTTTTCATGAAAGTAACATACTGCATATAAATATTTTCTCTAATAATGTTTGCAAGAACGATTTTGTGAACGATTATTCCATAGTATTCCTATAAAACAGTGAAATAAATTATTTTAAAAAGTTAGACATACTTTTCTTTTGAAAACAAAAAATAAACGCGTGTAACCTATTTATAAAAGAAAAAAAATCGACTATATCTCCTTGTGATTTAATTTCAAATGTAATATAGGAAACAATATATTTTTATATTGCAATTCTAAATATTCTCAAATACAGTATTTGAAATAGCAAGTGTTCAGTCTACCATACTATTTAAAAAACTATACGAATTTCACTCTCTTTCCCATTCAAGGGGAAATAATGTCGAATCCATTGTATTTTTACTCTTGAGCAGATAAACCTTGCACATTATTTGATGTGACTTGAAACGTACTGTATACAACACTGTAACACTATAAAACGTGTGTAATTATTTCCAATAAAAACAATTTAAAATTTAAAATAAATATAATTTTTTTTTATTTTTTGTCTAATGTGTCAAATGTAAGTTATAATCTCACAAAAATGTTTTAAGCGACGATCCACGTTTGTTAACATTTTAGCCTACCCATTTCGTAATAATTGGCATCACCATTGCTTATAGATGATATACAGATTCCTACATGAATAACAATATAAATTATAATTTGATAACAATTTAAAACAATAATAAGTACATTTTTTCTCGATTTTTGTCAGTACTTATACCGATGAGTAGTTGTTGTGCCCTTCAATTAAATGGTTGCTCTTCATATCATCTTTTGTGAAAGGGCTTTCATTTTTGTTGCAGTAAGTCCAATACAAACTATAATAGATTAATAATCTTCTATTAAACCATCTTAACGATTATATATTAAATTGAAATACAGTAGACCCCCTATAAAACGGGTTCCTATAATTAGGATTCCTATAAAACTGCGAAAAAATAGTGACGGTATCCGTAAAAAACGGTAAAAAAACTCCTATAATTACGTAAAACGTCATCGGGCAGCCGAACTATTTTCCGCCA